CCTTTTATATCTTTATCTTGCCTTTTTTTTGTTCAAAACTTCTAATGTCAATATGAATAATAGTGGAGATAGCGGGCGCCCGTGCCTGGTCCCTTTTGTAATTGGCACTTTTTCTGTCATATCTCCATTTCCCATCACTTTAACCTGTTGTTCTTTGTAAATAGTTTTAACCATATTCATGAATCTTTCCCCCAAATCCATCATTTGCAGTTGCATTATCATAAATTGCCAATTTACATTATCAAAAGCTTTCTGTGCATCCAAAAATAACAATGCCATTTGTTTCCCAGGGTGTGCTTCATAATATTCTAATGCATTCAATATAATCCGCATATTGTCTCTAATCTGTCTCGGGTAAAAAACCATTTTGATCTGAGTGTATAAATTCACTTCACAATCTTTTTAGTCTTTCCGCCATTATCGATGCAAAGATTTTGTAATCCACATTTAATAAATAAATTTGTCTATAGTTCTTTATTTGCTGCAAGTCTGTTTCTTCTTTTCGGATAAGAGTTATATAAGCCTCCAACCAAGAATCTGGTATTTTGCTTTCAATAACAACTCATTGAATATTTCTACCATGATGTTGCTTAACACATCTTGCAATGTTTTGTAAAATTTTCACTGATACTTCTCACTGATTTTCACTCTTTTCTTCCTTCACCACTCAATCACACTGTTATGCCTCTAGATCTGGCCATTTCACTCTTTTTCATGCTGAATTCAGGGGGGTTCCTCTTGCTGCAGCGGGGGATTGCTCTTCTCCTGATCACCCCCAGAGTTTCCCCTCTATAATACCAGCCCCTCCAGGACCACACTTTGCCTCTATGGACCTCCAGACATGAAAATTCGGACTGGAGAAACAGAGCCCCATTTTCCTCTACCACACCACCATAATATCACCCAGAAGGCCAAAAATAATGTGTATTTCTATTTGTACCTAGCAATCTTTGTGAACATATAGGCATGTGTGTGACTTACAGGCCTTTCTTTTTATCACAAGATTCTCCACCTTGTTAATGTCCTTAAAGAAAAAGTGCAAAATTTGTCTTTTTTCTCAATGTTCTTCTTTCAATTGTGTTGAGAGATTTACATTTGAACCTTAGTTCAAAATGTAAAAGTAAAAGTTAATATCAGGTTCTTCCAAAACTGTGATAATTTCCTCTGCATTTCAGCTACTTGTGAAGTTGCCTCAGCAGTTTGATAATGTTCTCCACATGTTTGCATCTCAGAACTAATTTGAGAGGATTTTTTATCATGTCAACAAATTGGCATATTTTATTTAGAGACCTTTCAAATATATATCTAATATTTTGCTCCACCAACTTGACTTCCTCTTTTAATCTGAATCAGAAGATTTTAGCCACCCACAGCTAAGAAGATCAAGATACTAGTTACTACAATAGTAAACTATAATCACAGCTTTCAATCTTTATCTTTTTCCATCAGCTTTTTTCTCACTACACTTACTTATTTGGCTTGTCTTAGCAGCCTTCTTCCTTGTTCTTTGAGACAAAAAAGATCCTCAAAATGGTGTGAGTTAAAAAAGGTATATCAGGCTGTAGCTAGAAAGAGTCTCTTTTTAAGTTGACTTTTTAAAAGAGTAATAATTGTTAAAGTGATTAGGAAGGGTAAGACATAACTAAGGTGACCAGATTTTCAGATTGGTAAAGAGGGACACCATTGACCGGGGGGGGAGGGGCTTAATTAAAATTTTTATATTTTGTCAAAANCTGCCGTATTTACTAGTTCTCTCTTTTCTGAGTTATGCTCCTACCACTAAGGTGTCATTATACCACTTTGGAGACTCCCTCGTCCATCAGGTTGTACGATTCACCAATTTAGAGAAGAACTTGGTATCTCCCTCTATCCTGTCACTTTTCACTGATACTTCTTTTTTAAAAAGTTTTTTATTTTTTCCTTTCAAATTCATTCATAGATATACATTCTTATAATTGCTATTTAACATTTGTCTATTCATCATTAGTCTCTATATTCATTAGTCTCTATACACATAACTCTTCACACACATATATAATACAGTTTGGGTCACTTTCTTGCCACCCTGTGCCTCCATCTTATTTTGCAACAACTTTACTCCTTCCATCTTCTCAACTTCCCTTCTCTACCTTCTTCTTTCTCCTCTCCTTCCTTCTTTCTTTTTCTCCTCTCTTTCCCCTCTCCTCCTCCCTTCTCCTCTTTCTTACCCTCTCTCCTACTTTTAATTATCCACCCTTACTTTCTCTGCTTTACCCTTTCTTCTTTTCTCTCCTCATCCCCCCTCCTTATCATTGTTGCCCTTAGTTATTTATTTTCTCTGATGGGTTCTCAAGGTGGCATTTCAGCAATCCCAACTCTATATTTTCATACAAAAAATTTTCTCTGTTTACATTTTATTTCTAATATTAGTTCCACTTTTGTCATTTTCCCGCTTGTACATTTTAATATTTTCTTATTTCCCCTCTCCCTACTTTAATAATGTATCATCTGAGTTATTTATTTCATGCTTTGTTTCTTTCTCTTTCTATTTATACCTTTTTTTTCCAGCCAATCATAAAATCACCCTCATGTCCTATAGTACATTGATTCTTCTTTGTCCTTCATTCTCAATGTCAACCTGTTCATTTCTGCACAATTTTGTATCTTCTTTATTACCTCACATTCCAATAGGATTTTATCTGCTTTCCAATTTTGTGCAAATATAATTCTAGCTGCTGTTATTATCTGTACAATCAAATATGAATCTTCTTTACTATATTTCTCTGGTAGAATACCCAATAAAAATACTTCTGGCTTAAACTCTATGGGTTGATGTATCATTTTCTTTAACCATATTTGTATTTTAGCCCAATAGCTTTTTGCATCCCTGCACATTCACCACATATGATAATATTGATCCTGGCAATTGATGGCATTTCCAACATTTAGCTGATTTATCCTTAAACATTTTTGCTAATCTTTCAGTGGCATGTGCCATCTATGAAATATTTTATACAACTTCTCTTCTCTTCTCTTCTCTTCTCTATGCTGTCGCCATTGTCAACTTATAGTTCCTTTCTCATGGTTGTTGCCATTTTTCTAGTTCTATTGTATAATCAAAGTTTTTTGTCCATCATATCATTGTTTCTTTAACCTCTTCTTC